CCAACCCTTCCTAGGCCGACCCCTACCCCGCCTTCCTTCCACTACAGACTGATACACTCTTGAAGTCATTCTGTTTCGCTCCATTCTCTCTACATGTCCGAACCACCTCAACAACCCTTCCTCAGCCCTCTGGACAACAGTTTTGGTAATCCCGCACCTCCTCCTAACTTCCAAACTACGAATTCTCTGCATTATATCACACCACACATTGCCCTCAGACATGACATCTCCACTGCCTCCAGCCTTCTCCTCGCTGCAACATTCATCACCCACGCTTCACACCCATATAAAGAGCGTTGGTAAAACTATACTCTCATACATTCCCCTCTTTGCCTCCAAGGACAAAGTTCTTTGTCTCCACAGACTCCTAAGTGCACCACTCACTCTTTTTCCCTCATCAATTCTATGATTCACCTCATCTTTCATAGACCCATCCGCTGACACGTCCACTCCCAAATATCTGAATACGTTCACCTCCTCCATACTCTCTCCCTCCAATCTGATATTCAATCTTTCATCACCTAATCTTTTTGTTATCCTCATAACCTTACTCTTTCCTGTATTCACCTTTAATTTTCTTCTTTGCACACCCTACCAAATTCATCCACCAATCTCTGCAACTTCTCTTCAGAATCTCCCAAGAGCACAGTGTCATCAGCAAAGAGCAGCTGTGACAACTCCCACTTTGTGTGTGATTCTTTATCTTTTAACTCCACGCCTCTTGCCAAGACCCTCGCATTTACTTCTCTTACAACCCCATCTATAAATATATTAAACAACCACGGTGACATCACACATCCTTGTCTAAGGCCTACTTTTACTGGAAAAAATTTCCCTCTTTCCTACATACTCTAACTTGAGCCTCACTATCCTCGTAAAAACTCTTCACTGCTTTCAGTAACCTACCTCCTACACCATACACTTGCAACATCTGCCACATTGCCCCCCTATCCACCCTGTCATACGCCTTTTCCAAATCCATAAATGCCACAAAGACCTCTTTAGCCTTATCTAAATACTGTTCACTTATATGTTTCACTGTAAACACCTGGTCCACACACCCCCTACCTTTCCTAAAGCCTCCTTGTTCATCTGCTATCCTATTCTCCGTCTTACTCTTAATTCTTTCAATTATAACTCTACCATACACTTTACCAGGTACACTCAACAGACTTATCCCCCTATAATTTTTGCACTCTCTTTTATCCCCTTTGCCTTTATACAAAGGAACTATGCATGCTCTCTGCCAATCCCTAGGTACCTTACCCTCTTCCATACATTTATTAAACAATTGCACCAACCACTCCAAAACTATATCCCCACCTGCTTTTAACATTTCTATCTTTATCCCATCAATCCCGGCTGCCTTTACCCCCTTTCATTTACCTACTCCCCCACGAACTTCCCCCACACTCACAACGGGCCCTCTTCCTCACTCCTACAAGTGTTATTCCTCCTTGCCCTATACACGAAATCACAGTTTCCCTATCTTCATCAACATTTAACAATTCCTCAAAATATTCCTTCCATCTTCCCAATACCTCTAACTCTCCTTTTAAAAACTCTCCTCTCCTATTTTTAACTGACAAATCCATTTGTCTCTAGGCTTTCTTAACTTGTTAATCCACTCCAAAACTTTTCTTATTTTCAACAAATTTGTTGTAACATCTCACCCACTCTCTCATTTGCTCTCTTTTTACATTGCTTCACCACTCTCTTAACCTCTCTTTTTTTCTCCATATACTCTTCCCTCCTTGCATCACTTCTACTTTGAAAAACTTCTCAAAATGCTAACTTTTCTCCCTTACTACTCTCTTTACATCATCATTCCACCAAATCGCCCTCTTCCCTCCTGCACCCACTTTCCTGTAACCACAAACTTCTGCTGAACACTCTAACACTACATTTTTAAACCTACCCCATACCTCTTCGACCCCATTGCCTATGCTCTCATTAGCCCATCTATCCTCCAATACTGTTTATATCTTACCCTAACTGCCTCCTCTTTTAGTTTATAAACCTTCACCTCTCTCCTTTCCCTGATGCTTCTATTCTCCTTGTATCCCATCTACCTTTTATTTCCCCAGTGTAGCTACAACTAGAAAGTGACTGATATATCTGGGGCCCCTCTATAAACAGTACATCCTGAAGTCTACTCAACAGTCTTTTATCTACCAATACATAATCCAACAAACTACTGTCATTTCGCCCACATCATATCGTGTATACTTATTTATCCTCTTTTCTTAAAATATGTATTACCTATAACTAAACCCCTTTCTATACAAAGTTCAATCAAAGGCTCCCATTATCATTTACAACCTGGAAACCCCAAATTTACCTCCCCACAACCCCTCTAAAATTTTCTCCTACTTTAGCATTCAAGTCCCCTACCACAATTACTCTCTCACTTGGTTCAAAGGCTCCTATACATTCACTTAACATCTCCCAAAATCTCTCTCTCTCCTCTGCATTCCTCTCTTCTCCAGGTGCATACACGCTATATAATTTTGAAAAAAATATCATAGATGGATTAATCAAAATGTCTATATTAACGTAATATACAACATTTAATGCGCCTCAGAGTGATTATTATTGTGTGTTATTGTTGTTAACATTATTAATATGGCATCTTCAAGACTAATAAGACACTCTTAGTGATTTTAATACACCTACCATCCGACTTACGACCGAACTTGGTTCCAACCATCTGGTCGTAAGTCAAAATGGACATAAGTCGAATCCTTGAAAATTGCCGACATACTGGGTAGGGCATAATGTCAAACCTTTGCTATACTGTAATGTAATGTACAATCATTATTTCATTCTTTTTACTATATTTTCATATAGTTGGACTTGAGTCCTGGAAATGGGAAGTACAATGCCTGCACTTTAAAGGAGGGGTTTGGGATATTGGCAGTTTGGAGGGATATGTTGTGTATCTTTATACGTATATGCTTCTAAACTGTTGTATTCTGAGCACCTCTGCAAAAACAGTGATAATGTGTGAGTGTGGTGAAAGTGTTGAATGATGATGAAAGCATTTTCTTTTTTGGGATTTTCTTTCTTTTTTGGGTCACCCTGCCTCGGTGGGAGACGGCCGACTTGTTAAAAAAAAAAAAAAGTGTACTGTATATTATGTATACATGGTAGTGGACTGTATTGTAAATTTTACATCTCATACAGTATTGTATGTTACTGTTATCTTTAAGTATTGTTGACACAGTGGAATGGGAGAATACCACTGGTAGTGTCATCCTGCCAGAATGTCCTATAATCTATACCCTAAGTAAAGAGAAACAACTCTAGAACATGTGTAATACGTATTCGGCTGGCTGGCTGGCCTTTGGGGGGTTGGCTGCTCTCCATCTGTGTCTCTCTCCTCCTTCCCGTCCCCTCACAGGTACACATAATAAAGTTACATACATAGTGGGAAATGATCTAGGATAACCCAAAAATCCAGACAAAGTGCTATACAGTGGATCTGTGCTCCAGTTCCCTAAGTTAATAATAATAATAATAATAATAATTATTATTATTACAACAGTATTTACATGCTAATAATAATAATAATAATATTATTATTATTAAAATCTAATATAATAATAGTGTTCACTCATTACTTACCTAAAACATATCTGTAGTCTTAATGTAGAGTGAGAGGTGAGTAAACAAGAATAAATGAATAAACGAGAGAGAGAATGAGTGCCGAAGGTTTGCAAGTTTTGTAAACAAACCAGTTGTTGTTGTTACCAGCCTGGACACAAATAGTTTTTGTTCACTCTATCAAGCCTACTGGAAAAACATCTCATATTTATGTTTGTTTATATGTTATGTAGCGTGTTTATTATATAATTTTGAAAAAAAAATCATAGATGGATTAAGCAAAATGTCTATATTAACATTTTATATGCATTTAATGCATCTCAGAGTGATTGTTATTATCATCATTATTAATATGGCATCTTCAAGACCAATAACACACTCTTAGTGATTTTTAACATGTACCTGCATGCCAGCACATGCACAAGATGTGGAGTTTAAAGCAGTTAAGTTAATATTTTATTCATTCTAGAGTGTATATCAGGTTTTTATGTTATTGATATTGTTTATTATGTCATATTAGATGAATTGTGATAGATAAATAAGCCATAGAGCTGATATTAGCGTCATATTGAAGATGTGACGACTCTGCTTCGTTTGTAATACCTGTTGGTTCATGAGTGGCTCTCTGAGACAGAGACGAGCAGACAGAAAGACACACACACAACACACACAGGAAGACATAAAGACAGATAAGCAGACAGATCTAGACAGATACAGACAGATCTAGACAGATATACAGGCAGACAGATACAAACAGGTTTATGTGCAACACTGAAAACAAATAGAGTTCGAGAGTAAGAGCCTTTCTTGCCTTCTTGCCACAATCTCCGGTGCAAGATTCAGACTTCCTCTTAGGGGCCATGGTGAAATTTACTGTCCAGTTAGTACAGTTAATACAGTGTGATGCTGCTGATAGGGCAGGGTAACTCAAACTGATGCTGCCTGCATGGCATGTTGCCGCCGCAAGTATCGTCAAATATTGTACAGTGGTATGCATCAGTCGGCCCAGCCCAGCTGCCAGATACACGGTCGTAAGTAGAGTTGACGTATGTCAAGCAGGTCATAAGTCGGATGGTAGGTGTATGTACCTGCATGCCAGCACACTGTGTAAGTTTATTTAGGTACAGGTACACATAAGTACATGTACATATATATAAAATATGAAATAACTTCAAAACACTTGAAATTTTGGAAAGTTTCCAGACATAATGGAGAGTCGTCCTCATGGTGAATATAAACAAACTGGGTGGTGCGTGGTGACTGTATTAGAAAGTCAGGTGGGGGGAGCCATACAGAGTTTTGGTCATAATCTTAAATATCTGTCTTAGCGGAACGCTGTAAGACAAAGCGCCGTAAAGTGGGGCCCTACTTTAAATACTTTTACCATATTTCAGATTGACCCTGACCTGGTACTGCCTACTATGAGAAGTGCAGTTGAAGAGCAGCTGAACTTGATTGCTGTTGGGAAAGCAGAGTTTGACTCTGTTCTGACACACACACTGGAGATATTTCAGCTGAAGTTCCAGTACTTTGTCAAGAATATAGAAGGCATGGATGAGTTGTTTGAAGTGACATTTTCACCACTGTCTGCTAGTGGTAGACCACTATCAAGGTAAGTGCTGAATAGTTAGGTTTTCAGGCTTCCATGTATATTTTTTAACTTTGAATGGCTTTAGAGATTGGCTTCACATTAATAATAATGCTTTGGTTATGATTAAATGTTATTGCATTAAGGTACAGTAGCTTTTTTGCTGTGGCTGATATAGCCCATTTTCAGTTTAGGTGTACTGTTGTAAACTTTTTTTATAAATAATTGTATACAAATTACTGTGCCTTAAATGCTAAGAACTTTAATTTTATGTGGTTCATATGTTAAAGATTAACCATTCTGAATAAATAATGACACATTGCCCTTTCTTGGTAGGAGAGGGCAGGTGTGTTTTAAAATTAGAGGTAGTAAAGGAATATTAAAAGTATGGATACCAAGGAGGAAAGAAGAGAGGAAAATATTAAGTATAACTTTTACAATGGAGGTTTGCTTGAAGCAAGATCCTAATGAGAGACTTTTTTAGTCTGTGTACCTTAATCGAAGGGGCCAGACAAAGAAGTGGTAAAGTCAAACGCTAGCCTGTAAGACAGCAACTCTGTCACTCTCTTATCCACACTAAAAATCTCCAGTTAACACTCTCCACAAACTAAAATAGTTTAGCACTTTTTGTGAATATAATATTGATACAGTAGTCATTCTAATCATCAGCATGTATGATGAGGGTACTTTGGAACTAATCACTCTCTCTTCCAAATAGTGACACTATTTATAACGGTGGAAACATAAATTCATATGCAGTGAAGTCTGAGATCGTTTCTACTACTAATTTGAATCCTTGGCTTAATTTGTGATCCCCTTTGTAGTTTTATCTATTACCTTGGTTGACATTGTTGCCTAACTAGCATAAGTGATATTTTTTGGGACATACATGAAGTGTTTCGGGAGAATTGTTTATTCAAACTTGAGTTCTGGTGAGAAGTAGTGTCTACAATTTGAAGGATATGTAGGGATATTGCAGTGATATATGGTTTGTGATATATGTTCACTTTCAGTCGACAGCTAGAGAATGTCATGGTGAATGTGTTTCCTTCTTTGGTGGGAAATGGCCTCCTAAAATAAAATTAATTTGTAGTGGTTGTTTTCATGTGCTACATTATTGCAGTGATCTCGGTCTGATTGAAAATGTTTGGCTGGTGTTGAAATCCAAAATTGGAGTTCCTGAAAAATTTATGGATTTATAGGGGTCTGAAATATTTCCATCATATATCTGAAGGATAATTTGGATTTTGCCATTGTAGCATAAGCTTTTCACTGTGTGACTTTTTCCAGTGACAATCTTTGGTCATTATTTACTCCTAGAGCCTGGTTGATCAGGCTCTGATCCACCAGGAGGCCTGGTCACAGACCGGGCCACGGGGGCGTTGACCCCCAGAACTCTCTCCAGGTAAACTCCAGGTAGAGCCCTCTCTTTTGGATGTTCTCAATATTTTATCACACAATCTGTATTCTTTGTGGCCTGTTATTGCTTTCTCTCATTCTCATTCTTGTCACTTATTGAGTATCTATAATACTTTTATTCTCCAATTGCCATTCCATTTGCTCAGTTTGGTATATGCATATAATTTTTGGCTATTATTCATGTACATAAATTTTTCATTATAATTTTGGAATTGCTTGTTTATATTGTGAATAGGTAGAATGACATATTAATATTTGTGTATTATGTACTAAGTAGAAGTATAGCTGAGCATTAGAAGACTGTTGTCTGTTAACCTTTAACCCTTTCACTGTCAAGACCACTGCTCACAAACTTGCTCTCAGTGTCAAAGAATTTAAAAAAAAAAATTCTTATAAAATGATAGAGAATCTTTTTCCGATGGTAATGAAACAAAAAGTACAAAATTTGATGGAAAGTATGCAGAATTGCTCTCTCACGAATTTAGCGGTCTTGGCAGTACAGTGGACCCCCGCTTAACGATCCCCTCCCAATGCGACCGATTATGTAAGTATTTATGTAAGTGCGTTTGTACGTGTATGTTTGGGGGTCTGAAATGGACTAATCTACTTCACAATATTCCTTATGGGAACAATTCAGTCAGTACTGGCACCTGAACATACTTCTGGAATGAAAAAATATCGTTAACCGGGGGTCCACTGTATTTATGCATCGGCGATTTTGCCCACTTTGAGCCCTATTTTGGGCCAATTCCATTGTTAGAATTGAAAGTAGTGCTAGCTATTTTGCTAGCACTACTTTTGTTCTGTTGATTGAGTACAAGAAACTGCCCATTTACCTATTTCAACTACCCAATAAAGTGATCAGAAATTGGTAATTTAGCCAATTTCATACAAAATTCATTTGAGAAAGGCCAATTTCAAAACAGGGTTTAGAATAAACAGTACAAACATTCCTAGCACTAAAATAACATTTTCTCTGTTCATTAGTCACATCTCCAGGTCCCTCTTTTATTACGCTTGCTTTCCATTTGAATTTTTATTCACACAAAAAATTAAAAGATTTACTGTTATGCAGGCTACTGCATTATTTTTAAAATGGTATAAATAATATCAGCGCATTTGTGAAAGCATATTAGACCCACTATATGACGTGTACTGGATGCGTGACGTGATTTGTTTACTCTTGAACATCATAAAAAATCGAACATTTCCGCTACTTTGAGCTTACTTTCAAGCTACTTTTAGTCTGTAAGCCATTCAAAATCATCTCTATTCCTGTAATATATCTCCCATTCTGTCAAATGAGACCAAAAAAACTAGAATACATCAATAAATCCCATACGAAAATACACCGCAAAGTCGCTGTTTTAAACCAAAAACAGAGTGGCAGTTTTTTCTCATGCACTGTGTGCTACAGGATTTTTTTTTTATATACTGTGCACACTGACCACTCAGATCCATTCTCATATGTAGGCCTACCAGCTATCTCCTGCAAGATTGGAAGCCACTATAAATTTGGCATAGTATTACGGGACCAACACTGGCTTCAAAGCTGTAATATTACAGGATCAACAGTGAAAGGGTTAAAGGCTTCTTATCAATACCTTTCATAACATTTGTTAAAATTTTAATGTACTTTTAAAGAGTGCGGACTAAATTGTGGAGACATTTATGTAATTAGAAGTACGATTCGTTGCCAACTGCAGATGTGGTAAATGTCGTCGTTACATCAAGCTTGTGGAGACTAAACCTGTCCGTCTCCACTGTGTGACGTGTGATGAAACTTTTGCTGTGCCTCAGAATGGTGTTATACGAGAGTTTCAGGAGAACAGGTGTCCTTTAGATGACTTCCAGCTATTGGTATGGTCTGGTGGAGCCAAGGGGAAGAGTTATACCTTCTGCCCTTACTGCTACAACAATCCCCCTTTCCAGTGAGTCACTCCCATCATTATTATACTCATTGAATCCCATTATAAAAGAACTTTTAGGCCATCTTCATAAATTATGGATAAAAGTTATTTTATCTTTTTTTCATTTATGTTTTTTATAATAAATTTATTTTGCTGTAGTTTCATTGAGATCCCTTGATGAATATTGATGTCAGAGCCTATTAAAAAAGGGATAGAAGCATGATGCCATACTACACACTGCTAGGAATTACCAAGGAACCTCCCATACATACAGTAACATCTCTTATTCAAAATTAATATATGCAGAATTCTGCCAAACATACTTCTGCATCTTTCCACAGACTTTTTTTTACCCCTTCATTCCCAAACTTTTTGTCCTTTTTTTTTCCCCCCCATATTTCTGCCTACTTTCTGAAAATTTTCATCTTGCCACCAAACTTTTCTCCCTTTCTATAAAACATTCCTCCACTCCCATGAGAATCTTCAAGATCTTTTTAAATTACAGATAAAGTGTCCTGAAATTACTCTAGGTGTACGGTAGGATTAAGACTGAGATGCTAAAAGCAGGTTGGGATAAAGTCTTGGAGCAGTTTCCCTATTTAAATTATTTTTACACTTGTATTTTTGTCTTGCAATATACTGTTTAGTACAATTACATCCTTTAAATTTGTGTAGTTCTTGGGATCTAACAGGAATTACTTCTGTGTGTAGAATGATACAAATTAGGGAACTCTTCTATAAAAGTATCTGGCATTGCTTGAGGTTTTGATGCTCCAGATTGATAGAATTTTCTTAAATAATTGTTTGTGTTAATTTACAAGGGAAATCTTTCATTAAAAAAGCTGTCAAACATGTGATATGGAATTGGGATACCACAGTCATTTACTTCCATTCAATTTGTTTATAATCAAATTTTGAAAAATAAAAAATTACGCTGGAAAATGGGACCCAAATGGTAATTTTTATAGTTATTTTGAACTTGATATTGTAATGATTTACAGTGGTCCCTCGGTAATAGTCAGGCTCGATAGTCGTCCTTTTCGGAAATCGTCGCGTTATTTTAGTCCAAACATTGGCTTGCAAATGGTCGGTTGACTCGCTAATCGTTGTTCATCCTGAAGCGTACTCACGGCTCTGATCCGCCCCGGTCTCCCTTCCCAGCCAATGTGCCATTGTTTACCAGTGAGCGACGGTCCCCTCATGTGTTCATACGAAATATTTCATAATAGTATTCCATTCTAGTGCTTGCAAGTGCTAAATAAGCTACCATGGCTCCAAAGAAAGCTCCTAGTGCCAAGCCTTTGGTAAAGAAGGTGAGAAATACAATTGAATGTAAGAAAAACATCATTGAAGAATATGAAAGTGGCGTACGTGTGGCCGAACTGGCCAGGATGTATAACAAATCCTGTACAGCCATATCTTCCATCGTGGCCAAGAAAAAAGAAATCAAGGAAGCTGTTGTTGCAAAGGAAGTAAATATGCTGACAAAAATGAGATCACCAGTACTCGAAGAGGTTGAGAAGTTATTATTGGTGTGGATAAACGAGAAACAATTAGCTGGTAAAGAAATTGCCTGCAATGAGTACTGATATTTGTGAATTTAAGGCCAGCAAAGGTTGGTTTGAGAGATTTAAGAACCGTAGTGGCATACAGTGTGATAAGGCATGGCGAGGCTGCCAGTTCAGACAAAATTGCAGCTACAAAATTCGTAAGTGAATTCAAGGAGTACATAGAAGCTGAAGGACTGAAACCTGAACAAGTGTTCAATTGTGTCAAAACAGGCCTCTTTTGGAAGAAAATGCCGAAGAGGACCTACAAAGAGACTGCCAGGACACAAGCCTATGAAAGACAGGCTGACGCTCATGTTCTGTGCTAATGCTAGTGGGGATTTCAAAGCAAAGCCGTTACTAGTGTACCATTCTGAAAATCCCAGAGTGTTCAAAAAAAACAATGTTATGAAGAGTAAATTGTGTGTTTTGGAGATCTAATAATAAGGCATGGGGTCACTAGGGAAATTTTCGTCGAGTGGTTCAATGAAGTGTTTGGCCCTAGTGTGAAGAATTACCTCCTGGAAAAGAAATTGGGTCTCAAGTGCCTCCTAGTAATGGACAGTGCACCTGCTCATCCTCCAAACTTGGATGACCTAATTCTGAAGAAGTTTGGGTTCATCACAGTAAAGTTCTTGCCCCCGAATACCACTCCTTTCCTCCAGGCCATGGACCAGCAGGTCATTTCAAACTTTAAAAAACTCTACATGAAAGCAATGTTTCAAAGGTGCTTTAATGTGACCTCAGACACTCACTTGACCCTAAGAGAGTTTTGGAAAGAACACTTCAGTATCCTCCATTGCATAAGACTTATAGGTAAGGCTTGGAAGGGAGTGACTACCAGGACTTTGAACTCTGCTTGGAGAAAATTGTGGCCAGAGTGTGTCCACAAGAGGGATTTTGAAGGTACACAAATAACCCGGGAGCAATGGGCTAGTAACCCCTTCTCCTGTATACAATTACTAAAAAAGAGAAAAGAAAAAACTTTATAAAAAATGGGTTTGCTTAAATGTGCGTGGATGTAGTGCGGATGACAAGAAACAGATGATTGCTGATGTTATGAATGAAAAGAAGTTGGATGTCCTGGCCCTAAGCGAAACAAAGCTGAAGGGGGTAGGAGAGTTTCAGTGGGGGGAAATAAATGGGATTAAATCTGGAGTAAACTGAGAGAGTTAGAGCAAAGGAAGGGGTAGCAGTAATGTTAAATGATCAGTTTTTGGAAGGAGAAAAAAAGAATATGAATGTGTAAATTCAAGAATTATGTGGATTAAAGTAAAGGTTTTGGGTGCGAGAAGTGGGTCATAATAAGCTGTATGCAACCTGGAGAAGAGAGGAATGCAGAGGAGAGAGAGAGATTTTGGGAGATGTTAAGTGAATGTATAGGAGCCTTTGAACCAAGTGAGAGAGTAATTGTGGTAGGGACTTGAATGCTAAAGTAGGAGAAACTTTTAGAGAGGGTGTGGTAGGTAAGTTTGGGGTGCCAGGTGTAAAAAGATAATGGGAGCCCTTTGAATTGAACTTTGTATAGAAAGGGGTTTAGTTATAGGTAATACATATTTTAAGAAAAAGAGGATAAATAAGTAACACGATATGATGTAGGGCCCAAATGACAGTAGTTTGTTGGATTATGTATTGGTAGATAAAAGACGTTGAGTAGACTTCAGGATGTACATGTTTATAGAGGGGCCACAGATATATCAGATCACTTTCTAGTTCTAGCTACACTGAAGTAAAAAGGTAGATGGGATACAAGGAGAATAGAAGCATCAGGGAAGAGAGAGGTGAAGGTTTTATAAACTAAAAGAGGAGGCATTAGGGGAAGATATAAACAGCTATTGGAGGATAGATGGGCTAATGAGAGCATAGGCAATGGGTCGAAGAGGTATGGGTAGGTTTAAAAATGTAGTGTTAGAGTGTTCAGCAGAAGTTTGTGGTTACAGGAAAGTGGGTGCAGGAGGGAAGGGAGCGATTGGTGGAATGATGATGTAAAGAGAGTAGTAAGGGAGAAAAAGTTAGCATATGAGAAGTTTTTACAAAGTAGAAGTGATGCAAGGAGGGAAGAGTATATGGAGAAAAAGAGAGAAGTTAAGAGAGTGGTTGAAGCAATGAAAAAAGAGAGAAAATGAGAGAGTGGGTGAGATGTTATAAACAAATTTTGTTGAAAATAAAAAAAAGTTTTGGAGGGATTAACAAGTTTAAAAAAAGCCTAGAAACAAATGGATTTGTCAGTTAAAAATAGGAGAGGAGAGTTATTAAATGGAGAGTTTTGAGGTATTGGGAAGATGGAAGGAATATTTTGAGGAATTGTTAAATGTTGATGAAGATAGGGAAGCTGTGATTTCGTGTTATAGGGCAAGGAGGAATAACATCTTGTAGGAGTGAGGAAGAGCCAGTTGTGAGTGGGGGGGGAAATTCGTGAGGCAGTAGGTAAAAAAGAAAGGGGGTAAGGCAGCCGGGATTGATGGGATAAAGATAGAAATGTTTAAAAGCAGGGGGGATATTTTGGAGTGGTTGGTGCAATTTTTTAATAAATGTAATGAAAAGGGTAAGGTACCTAGGGATTGGCAGAGAGCATGCATAGTTCCTTTGTATAAAGGCAAAGGGGATAAAAGAGAGTGCAAAAATTATAGGGGATAAGTCTGTTGAGTGTACCTGGTAAAGTGTATGGTAGAGTTATAATTGAAAGAATTAAGAGTAAGACGGAGAATAGGATAGCAGATGAACAAGGAGGCTTTAGGAAAGGTAGGGGGTGTGTGGACCAGTTGTTTACAGTGAAACATATAAGTGAACAGTATTTAGATAAGGCTAAAGAGGTCTTTGTGGCATTTATGGATTTGGAAAAGGCGTATGACAGGGTGGATAGGGGGGCAATGTGGCAGATGTTGAAAGTGTATGGTGTAGGAGGTAGGTTACTGAAAGCAGTGAAGAGTTTTACGAGGATAGTGAGGCTCAAGTTAGAGTATGTAGGAAAGAGGGAAATTTTTTTCCCAGTAAAAGTAGGCCTTAGACAAGGATGTGTGATGTCACCGTGGTTGTTTAATATATTTATAGATGGGGTTGTAAGAGAAGTAAATGCGAGGGTCTTGGCAAGAGGCGTGGAGTTAAAAGATAAAGAATCACACACAAAGTGGGAGTTGTCACAGCTGCTCTTGCATGATGACACTGTGCTCTTGGGAGATTCTGAAGAGAAGTTGCAGAGATTGGTGGATGAATTTGGTTAGGGTGTGCAAAGAAGAAAATTAAAGGTGAATACAGGAAAGAGTAAGGTTATGAGGATAACAAAAAGATTAGGTGATGAAAGATTGAATATCAGATTGGAGGGAGAGAGTATGGAGGAGGTGAACGTATTCAGATATTTGGGAGTGGACGTGTCAGCGGATGGGTCTATGAAAGATGAGGTGAATCATAGAATTGATGAGGGAAAAAGAGTGAGTGGTGCACTTAGGAGTCTGTGGAGACAAAGAACTTGTCCTT